ATTTTAAAGTTGTTTAATTGCCGCTAAGCCTGTTTTTAATGGCGGCCATTGATGTTTACATTTGAAACAGGAGACTAGTGGATTTGTTGCCAATCTAGAGAAACTTAACTTCGCAACAACAAAGACAACGCATTTATTTATTATTGCCAATTAAATCATGCTTAATTCTTTCTGGAATTGTTTCGAGGAAATAAGTGTTTGAGATTTACTTCGTAATTTTTAATATAGATATTTTGAGTTTTTATGTATTTTTGCCTTCTCGCGAAGTGAGAACTGAATTAATTAAATGAGAAATACTCAATAGTCTGTGAAAAACTGTTTCTTTTTTGTTTTGTTTGCTTAATTTCTTTTATACATCATTCTAGCATTATTATAGTATTTGAATAGAACATGTGGCAACGATTAGATAATTCTATTCTTTAAATGATATAAAATTTGCGCATTATGAGTTATAATATGAACGAAATACATACGTTAACTGTTATATAATTATTGGATTATATAACAGTTAACTTAGTTTCCGTTATATAATTATTATATAAGCTAACTGTTATATAATTACTAATACTGTTAAGTGAATCTAGCGCCAGAGTGTCGCTATGGTAAACAATTACTAGAGTGAATTTTAAAGAATGCATTTATTCTATTGTGGTTTATGCGCTGTCGGCGAAGTAGATTTAATTCAATCAATTGCAAGAAAAAATGAAAATAAAATTATACGCATTTTTTTCTTGAATTTCATTTAAATTGATTGGATTGAATTAAATCTACTTCGTCGACAGCGCATAAACCACAATAGAATATATGCACTCTTTAAAATTCAGTATATTTGTTTACTATAACGGCACTTTGAATGTACAAAATTTATATCATTTGAAGAATTATCGTTGCCACATGTTCTATTCAAATACTATAATAAAGCTAAAACGATGTATGAAAGAAATTAAGCCAACAAAACAAAAAAGAAACAGTTTTTCACAGACGATTTAGTATTTCTCATTCAATTAATTCAGTTCTCACTTCGCGACAAGGCAAAAATATATAAAAACACAAAATATCTGCATTAAAAATTATGAAGTAAATTTTAAAAACTTATTTCCTCGAAAAATTTCCAGAAAGTATTAAGCATGATTTAAATCGCAATAATAAATGAAGGCGTTTATCTTTGTTGTTGCGAAGCTACGTTTCTCTAGATTGGCAACAAATTTACTACTCAGCTGCTTCAAATTTAAACAAGAAATGGCCGTTATCAAAATAGGCTTAGCGGCACTTAAACAACTTTTAAATTGTTGAAAATTCTAAAAATATTGCACACAGGTTTACTAAAGGCATAAAATCCTTAACCGGAAGATAAAAACAACATAATTCAATCATTTTTAAAGAACAAATGTACAATTTACAAACATATAAGAGTAAAGAAGCGATTACTGAGCCGGGTAATAGAGTGGATATATTTATAAATATATTTATATACGTTTACGCGGCCGATTTCAACCAAAATACGAGGTGCACATCTACATGTTATAGTAGTCCTATATACAAATTTTCAACCTTCTGAGGCTACTCGTCTTTGAGTTATGAGAGATACGTACGTACGTACATACGTTCGAACAGACGCCACGAAAAATTCTCTTCAGAATTCATTTTAAAGCAGTTTTTTAGTTTTTTTTTGAGGAAACAAGTCTTTTATTCTGTCCTTACGTACAGATATCACGCAAAAACATCGTTAAATTGCATTCGATTGCGGTCAAAATGGATATTTTCGTTGAAATATGTTGCCTGAAACTTTTCGCGATTACAATACTTCCTTTTTACTTCGTACAAGGAAGCGAAAAATTGAAGGTTGTTTACAAATTTTTTGTTTTGCATTTTACTTTCCTTCTGCAGTCTAATATATTTTAGTTTTTGTTTTTATCCCACCTTATGTAATTTTTTCTATCACTCACATAAGAAACACAGAGATAAAAATGTTATTCACAAAGATTCGACAAATGGTTAAGACACATTGGAGGTAATATTCTTCTTCTATAATCCATAGGAAAAATTAGTAAAATTATGTTCGTTCCTTTCTGTGGTAATTTCGTTTTTAGTATCCGTTTTTATGCAACATACAAATTTCGTAGTGAATTAATAAAACCTGTTACAGAAAAATTTCAGTTCTTGTACACGAAAAATAGATGAATTAGTTACAAATAACATTTGCAGAGCAACGAAATTACTTTGCATACACACGTAATTCTTCCTTACGATTAATAATTTATTACATATTATATATTTTAAATATTTCTTCTTCTTAATAAGGTAATTTAGTTTAAATAGGTGAAAAATTTCAGTGGGCACATTTACAACAATTTCGATATTTGTGTCTGTGTTCCGTGTAGCGTCAGGTTTTAGCTTTCAGTTTAACAGTGTTGTAATGAAATTAATTCATCATCGGGGCAATAGCCAACTGAAAGTTTTGATGATTAATTTGTTGCGTTATATAAAGTTTGTTTATCATTTTGCAATTCTTATGAAAAGAATTCTGAGATACAAAACTTTGAGGGGATCAAGAAGGAGAAGAAAGAGGGAGAGCGATTCGGTTAACCGTAATGAAAGATGCAATCAAAGAAAGTGTTATAAAGAATGAAACAAAAAGACTCGACAAATATCCTCAGAACCAAAATAGGGCCCCAGCAGTGCCAAACGGATTAAGATTGTTGAATACTGATAGTTTGATTCGCCCTCGATCCTGCAAGAACAGGTTGGCTCTGTGATTGGGTTTTGCAGTTCAATTTTCCTTACAAAATCCTACACGAATGCATTCTTTTCTTAGGCAGATGGTCTTCGTACCCATTGCCGTATTCTAGCAACCTAAATCACAGACGGAGATAGATAAATTCATTTGTGTGACAAGATTGATCTCAGCCCAGCACTTACTAGAAGACAAATCAAGATTTATTTTATAACATTTTCTCAGGGCTATAATGTTAGTTTCTGATATCTATATTTTAGTACATTCAGTAGTTAAGAATCATTTATTAATTTTATATTTCCTTCTTTTATGAAGTCATTTTCTTTAAAGAAAGTAAAGCTATTAATGACTATAAATAGTGTGATATACAGTGGTGGCCAAAATTGTGGACACTTTTGGAAATTTTTATGTTTTTGAACTTTGTATGCTTATAGAAAATGTTACGTTTCGCAAAATGCAAACTTGTATATATCATCTTAAAGAGAATTTATTACTGAATTCAATACAAAACACAAAATTCAATTATTTGCAATACAAAAAAATTTATATGTACTTTAATATAAAAAAAATACACAGTTATGAAGTGGTTTGTAATGTCTAGCTTTCCTGGCCAATCACTGTTCTTGTACTGAGAACCAATCAAATGTTACTAACTGCCAGTAGAAGCTGACATCATGTTTACACTTGAAACAATTCATTATTTTGCTTTATTCTGTAGAAGGAGGACCTGTTTCTTATACCCTGCAAATACAAGTAGGAATTTTTGTAAAAATTTGTAATATTTAGTCAAGAAGCAATGACATCAAATAAAAGAGTAGATTGGACACCTAGAAAGAGATGTAATATTATTGTGTTACGAGAAAGTGGTCTTTCCTATGCTGAAATTGCAAGACAGGTGGGTGGTTCAGTGACTACATCTGGAGTCCGAAAGTTTTGTTTACAATATCAGGAGACATATTCAATAAAAAACAAAGAAGGAAAAGGCCGAAAAAGGTGCACCACATCTATTGATGACAGAAGAATAAAAAGACTATGTCTCCAAGATATAAAAATGTCATCAGCGGCCATCAGAAGTGATCTGAATGATGCTGGTGTTTCTGTCAGTTCAAGAACAATCAAGAGAAGATTAACAGATGTTGGACTGAGAGGTAGAATTCCACGAAAAAGCCTTATCTTAATTTTCAGCAACGAAAATAAAGACTACAGTGGGCAAAGGAACACATTAATTGGACAGATTATCAGTGGTCACAAATTATATGGAGTGATGAAACTAAGATATCGTTATTCGGTAGTGATGGGCGAAAATATGTAAGACGTAGAATAGGAGAAGAGCTACATCCTGACTGCATTCAAGCAACTGTGTAGAACCCAGTTAGTGTTATGATTTGGTCATGCATGTCAGCGGATGGTATTGGTCGCCTTCATGTCATCGATGGGACACTGAATGCCAGAAAATACATTGACACTATTCTAGAACCAAAACTTCTACCTTCCATCAGAGATCTCTTTCCCAACAATGCTTCGTTTATTTTTCAGCAGGATTCTGCTCCTTGCCACACGGCCAAAATATCGAAAGAGTAGTTTTGTACAAAGAGCATTAAATTGTTGTCATGGCCAGGAAACAGTCCTGACCTCAATCTTATCGAAAATCTGTGGCACCGTTTGAAAACTCTTGTCCGAATGAGGCGCCCGTCAAATAAAAGGGAACTAATTGAGGCTATATTTGTTTCCTGGCATCATGTAATAACGAAAGAAGTGCCTAAACACTTGTCAGCTCAATGAAACGTCGATGTGAAGCTGTAATAAAAAATAAAGGGTACCCTACTAAGTACTGATAACTCACTGCAATCATCACTATCGATAACTATTATCGTTTAACTTTTTTTGTATTTCAAATAATTGAATTTTGTGTTTTGTATTGAATTCAGTAATAAATTCTCTTTAAAATGATATATACAAGTTTGCATTTTGTGAAACGTAACGTTTTCTATAAGCATACAAAGTTCAAAAACATAAAAATTTCCAAAAGTGTCGACAATTTTGGCCACCACTGTACATTATCTTGCATGTTAACTAAATGATGATAAGTTAGACTATATATGTATACAGGTGACTTTCACTTGCTGAATTTTAGTATGAAAGAAAAATACAATGAAAATAAAATAAGAAACTGACTGCGCAAAAATATTTTTATTTTATTTCAGGCACTAATTTTGGCTAAATATATCCGTAATTCATTCACACGTATGCTTTCGAAGGCAAACTGGATGGGTAAAGACACTAAGAGAGCAGCATTAGAAAAGGTCCCTTTTTTTCTTTCATTTTCTACTTCTTCGTGTATATTTTAAGTTGAAAGAAACTCTGTTATTTTAAAGGATCTGGTATACAGTATAAAACATATATAAAGTACATATACACATATAACAGTTATGCATATAAAGTTCTATAACACTTAATTGTTCACTCAACTTTACTAATTTGGTAAAGAAGACAATCATTACAAATTTTTTGCACTTTTAACACAACTAAAATTCTTTTGTCTTAAGTGTTTTTGTATTTTTCATTTGTCTAAAATCAAATTTTCGACTATTCAACAGGATCGTAGAGAAAACTTTAAAATGACAAGTCAACAATGTCTGTTTTCCCTACTATCTTTTCATTAAAAGAACGAATTTCATTAGATAGAACGTACTTTGAAGTAAACGATAGTTACTCCCAGTCGATAATCTTCTTTTAGCATAAATTTAAGCATAAAACGTCGAGATTCACTACGAAGCTAAAATTTATGTAAAATATAGATTAAAACTGATATCATCAAATACTTGTGTATGCATATCTTGTTCTATTATATAAGATTCAAAAGAGAATAAAGTTTTCATCCTTGCTTACTTTGACAAAATCACTTCTGACAATAAATCAGCAAAGTTTTAAACAAATCATTTTTCTGAAAACACTCTTTTCCTTCGAAATTAGAGATTTTTTTTCTTCATTGGAATACACATGTATAAATCTTCTTCCTAAAGAGAAATAAAATTGTGTGTGTTCCTTACGCACGATACCATAAGTAGCGAAATCCTTACACATATCCTGATGGTAATTAAAATGTGCATACACTGATGTGTGCGAGGAAAGGGAATATTGTTCAAAGTATACATGACGCTGCACATATGACAACATATTTTCTTCTGATTATATAATCAATCTCTCTTACCTCAAAACAATTACTTTGTTATAATTGCAACAGTTCTGTTTCAGGAACGTACGAAACTTCATGAGGCGCGAGGTTAAAGGGGCGCGAGATTAAGGGGGCGCTTTAATCTCGCGCCAAGCGTAGTTAACGCGCCTATTTAACCGTACGTAAATTTAGATTGTTCTTCTTTTGCCAACAAACTATATATTTTTTTATTTCGGGAATAAAACCCTCGTATTTGTTTTACTTAGCTATTAATTTAAGTAGAGCCAGCAGTCTAGGAGCACCATGTCAAGTCGCGGTCAAAACTCAAGAAGCTTATGCTTCGGAATCATCCAAGGATTGAAACATGAAACTGTGTTTTATCAATAACTCAACAGCGAAAGGATTCTGTAATGAGAAGAAAGAATTAAGGACTGAAATTAGTTCGACGGATCGAAAGTCGCCTTCATTTAAGTAGCGCGGCTGATCTGTTTTTGGTGTCAGGAGATGAGATCTACTGAATTTTGTGAATCTCAATTGAAGATGACCTACACTACAAATATGTAAATGGGAAAATGGGAAAAGTTACACCAGTGACGTGTGTAATTTTGTAATTTTTCGGCCTAAGTTGAAAATCGGCGGATACGACAGGATTCTTGAAGATGAAAACAATGCTGAACGTGGTTTTCCGTCACAATGCGTCTTTGGGGGATTATAGCAGATAATCAAATGACTAATTTTTGTAGGCGTTCCAAATCGATCGCTGAAAACTTTTATAGTTTTTTTAAAAGAAAATATCGCAGAAGGAATCATTATTTATACTGATTATGGAACCGCATATAAATTGATGATCACGAAGAATGAATTATGAGATGCCGAATTTGAACATTACGCTGTTAAGTACAACAGCATTGGTTTCCAAAAATTTAGGAAAAATCAAAATAGCAATAACTCATTCAAAGTAAGCCAAGCTATATAAAATTTTACTATGTTTTCAAGTAGGAGTAGCTGAATAAAACTTCAGTATGCAAAATAGCGGCTCTGCGTCGGAATATATTATCTGCCAAGAGCATGAAATTGTATGCTTGAGAGCAAGGCTTCAAATTTCGCTGTGATATTGAGGTAGGAAATCTGGTAGAGCCAATTCGTAACACTGACCTCCAGGCACCATTTGCCCGAAAAACTGCGACGGAGAACTATTGGGAGACTAGAGACAGGACTAAATCAGACTGAAGGGACAAGACGGCTAAATATGAGTCCTTCTGTAATTTGGCAACAATTTCTAACCACAGATTCGGCACCAGAAGCTTCAGCCAAGTACGTCCAACCACTATGATGAGCACCTATGTTGTTATGAGCACGAAGGAACAGAACCGCAACTTCGAATCAACTCAGATCTTTCTTACCCACCGGAAAGTTGGTGTCAGGGTCAATTACGCGTAGAAAGCTTCAAGAAGAAGGTCTGTAAGAGAAGCGACCAGTCATCTGAATGCCGCTCAAGTCACGTCTTAGAAGCGAACGTTTGAGGTGAGCTTATTAACAGGTCCACTGGACGGTTAATGAATGGCGGGCTGTTCTCTTTATAAATAAGGACAGGTCTAGCCTCCAAAGCGATAGTAGGCATTATTTAATTTGGAATGTGTAGTATGTGGAACCCGTTATCATCCATCAAACATCCGTGAAAGAGATACATACGGAGGAGGCAATGTCTGTGTTTGGGGTGGTATCTTTTTGGGTGGATGCACAGACCTCCATTCTTTCCACATGGAACCATGAATGCTCAAGTCTATAGAGATGACATCCTTGATACTTATGCGCGACCTTAAACCGGGGTAATAGGTTATGATTTCCTGCCATAGGACGACAACTTTAGACTACACAGTGCTCACATTGTGGATGATTATCTGCAACAATTCAGCTTAAAGTGCGACCAGCTCGATCACCGAACCAGAATCCTATCGAGCATGTTTCTGACGCTTTAGGCAGACATATAGCTGCTCTCATTCCTTCTCTTCAGACTCTTGCCACGCTTTCAGTTGCTTTGCAAGAGCAATGGCTCTCACTTCTTATGAAACTGATAGACCACATAGTTGCCAGCACCAAACATCGCTGCTTGTGCTGTATTGCTTCTAGGGAAGATCAAACTCCATATTGAAGATGTTTTTCCCATACCAAACTGACACATACGGTTTGTTCATTTTATACATGTAAGATAAAAAATATGAAATCAAACTTCTAATTTCAATTGTGAATAACCTCTTTTGTTTTTTATTTAATTTGCGGACTTCCTCTCTCTATCTTAAAATAGCTCTATATAAGTCTAAACTGCGTCATTCAAATTAATCAGGCTATCCTAGATAACGCTTAATGTAGCCCAATTAAATTATAAACCAAAACTTTTTTTACTCGAACTGAAACGTTTGACTGCCTCCCTTCCTCTTTTGAGTTGCTGCAACACTTTGGCTTACGCTTTCCTCCTGGCAACATGATTTTCGGCTACTTCTTCTGAATATGTACTAAGCTAACAAAAATGTAGGGCGCATAAGACGCCCATGCGTATGTGAACCAAATATTGCGAATCCAGGATTGTTTTCTTCAATAATAAAATTATCTTGAATCTGGCCATGTCTACATTGTTAAGTTTCTTTGCTACGTATTCATTATGCCCCTACCAAGTTCCAAATCAACCATATCATCTCATACATATTCTAATTTCTGTAACAGCATAATTGTCTGATGATTTCTTTTTATACCTTATTATGTGTTGTACGCTGTGGATAGGTATCATTAAACTCTACATGTAACTTTTTGAGTAATCGTTATTTTTGTGATTTTTCCTTAATTAATAATAATCAGTGTATAATTAATTTAGAAGTCAAACAACAAAAATCACCGTTATATTTTCAAATTTTCACAGGACTAGTTTTGATGCTTTTACCGAACCATCATCCTCAGCTGCAAAAGCGCAAATGAACGAGATAAAATATAATGATTAGATAAGATAAGAAAGCCTGGACAGGAGATAAGGCACTGGCGCCATCTGTTGACAAAACCAGAACTAAAACATAATTTATTTAAAGGCTGAAGGCAAAGATGGATTGGAGTGGAGGTTGTTAACTAGAACAGAAAGATTTTTTTGAATGTGAAATGCTTCTAGAAAATCACATTCAAAAAATCTTTCTGTTCTAGTTAACAACCTCCACTCCAATCCATCTTTGCCTTCAGCCTTTAAATAAATTATGTTTTAGTTCTGGTTTCATCAACAGATGGTGCCACTAGCTTATTTTCTCTCCAGGCTTTCTTATCTTATCTGATCATTATATCCTATCTAGTTCATTTGCACTTTTGCAGCTGAGGAGATGGTTCGGTAAAAGCATCGAAATTAATCCTATGAAAATTTGAAAATATAACGCTGACTTTTGTTGTTTGACTTCTAAATTCATATTTGTTTGCGTGTTATTGTATCTTAATTCAGTGTATAATTGTTTGCTACCCCGAAATTCGTAGTCGCACCCAAGCAATAGAGAGACTACACGGCAGTGATAAAAGGCGTAGTAAAAGCCATTGGGGCACTGCTCGACAGCAGTCGGACATTCTCATTTGTCCGAATTTATGCGGAAACCAATACACAAAACAACTTACATTTACTTTGCAGTGTTGGATGATATAAACACTTTTAGGCCTTCTGTTTAATTTCGGTTATCTTTAGCCGTTTTTTATGAATTATAATAAAAAGAATTAATTTATGAAGTTAAACTTTCATCTAAATTAGATTAATGATCTTAGAGAGTTATTTACTATTACGTTTCCTTTCTCTGTAAGAACTCTGCACAAAATTTTAAACTGAAATAGCGTGATATAAACTGCCTTTCATCAAAGGTCAGCCTGATTTCATTACTGTTTTACTCTGAAAATATGGAATCTACGAAGGGCCTTTTAAGAGATATTTAATCCTGCACTCTCTCTGAAATATCCTATGTATTTACAAATTTGCTAATTATTCGAATATGTAATAATTTGTTTGACTTATGTATTTTATAATAAGGTTATCCGTTGTCAGATTTCCGAAATACAAAATACTGCTTTGTTTGTATCTCGCAGGTTCGTGCTATAAAATTTCGTATTGAACACTCTAGAGAGCTATTGCATGATTCGAACGCATTTGGTGCATACGAAAATGTAAGCATTAATATATTTATTTTAATTTATTTCAAAGAGATTGTATCTATGGAATTTAGACTTTTTTGAATGAATGTTTACTAGTATATTTTAAATATCTTTTTCTAGCTGCACCTTAACGATAAAAGCTTTTTCGACAATGCACTGAGCGTTCGTAAGTGGGTAACTGACAAATACTTTTCTCAGCTTTGGATGCCTAAGAAAGTGGAAGAGTACGTAATATTTTAACTAACAAATAACTGTACAAATGTTTATCTCTTGCATTTTTAATAAAATGGAGTTCCTAAATATGAGGAGGAAACGAAACTGCATTAAAAATGATAACTGAACATTTTGTCTTATCAAACTTAACATATCATTTTAATTAAAAGAAAAATAGTTCTTCTTTACCTAGACAAGAATTGCTTAAAAAGTTTTCAGAATAAATCGTTTTAGTTGCAATTCTAAATATCATAAAATTGTAACTCATGTGATAACCCTTTGCGACACGCATATTTAAAATTTATTTTAATCTTTAAAAAATGCCTTAGAATAAGTCAGATGGACTTACTTAAGTGCCTTTAAGGCTTGAAAAAAATTCTGCGCTTTTATTTTTTACGGTGGAAGGTGGGATACCGTTTGTCCCACCATGCAACTAGCACATGTCTTATAGCATATTGGTGTATAGCAGGGAAAAAAATTATATGTGGAATGAATAAACAAAATAAAGCGTGCATTCTAAAATATTCATAATAAACACACTAAAATGCATTTTGTACTTATTGCATATATGCATGACTTGTAAAATTTTGCATACGCACATTTTGTACAGTATATATTTAATATTTTTAAATTTTAGGAACAAAAGAAAATATTTTCTTGAATATTATTTTAAGATTAAAATTTGATACTCGTACATATGATACTAAATAAAATATTAAAATTGGCACTTGATTCAAAAACATTTATATATGACTAAAATTGAAAAAAAAAGTCATTTTTCATGAAACTTTGAAAAAACATGTTGTTTCATTCTTTTGTAAGCATAGAGGCACTTCACATGTTTCACACATGCAAAATGTTCGTCGTTCTTCTTTCGATATGCTGCAATATGCACATCTTCTCCTGCTCGTTCTTCTTTGGCGTTTTACTTACATTTTTTAGTGTCTTTTCTGGTTGTACGAACGGGTTTTTTAGTTTTTATTTGAACTGGGGATTTCAGTTTTCTTTTCAGTTCTTTCTTGCCTGCAAGTGCCATTAGACCTTCTGTAACTGAGAGAAGAAAATCTTTCATTGTTTTTACAATTCATGATCAGGTTCGCGAACAAACTTAAATAAATAAATGTGTTTACTATACTCGCATCTAAAAAGTAAAAAAAAACATGTGCCACCCATTTCTTGCTTTTGCGGTCCTATTTCGTATAGTCCTTTCAGTTGATCAATCAGTCGACATATCCCATATTCTTATTGTATGAAATAATGCTGTTTGGGCACAGTACTTTTTTTTTTTTTTTTTTTTTTGTCTTTTCCATCTCGTTCCTTTCTATTAATTTCTTTCATTTCAGTTGCCTTTTCTAAGCAAGACAGGATAGAAACGGATCTTTTATCCTTCCATTTTATGCAATAAATTGAATCATTGCTAACTGAAAAGTCTATATTCTCTTGACATAAATTTGTCTTTTAAATTTTTGGGTAGATACTTCCGATCCATATTTATAGTGCCTCATGCATAGATGGGTCTATGTCTTTAAAAAGCGAAACAAATTATAACTACTTCCCTTTCTTCTTCAGCAATAACTTCAACCTCAGTTATTCTCTCTTGGATTTCAATTTCATCTGAATCAGAACTGACATCTAAAGCATTTGAGTCGCAATCGGATGGCAATTCAGCAAAAAGATCCAAAGCTTCCTGAGTTGTTAATTTTTTTCTAGACATTTTAGCACATCAGAGCATACAACGGATGTAAAAGCGCGCGCAATCACGAAAAAAGTAGATGCAAAAAAGAAAAGAAAAAATAATCGTGAGTGCTGCCATCTATTGAGCGGAAATTCAAGTGTGTGGTGAGACAAATTTTAACCCACTTATTTCAACTGCAAAATTAATGTTATAAAATATTGAATCCAATAAAGATTTTTGAAAATAAAGTACTTTTGAATATTAAAAAGTATCATACATATCATAAATTGTATACCAAAATTTTTAAAATATTGAAAAATGCGAGATACAGGGATATCACTCTTGTGATCCTATTTTGAATATTTTTTGCTTATAAACTTAAGCCCTGGTATAGTAGTAACATCTACTGAGAAAAATAATAACTAAAATAGATTATTTTTAAAAGATTAGAAAATTTCTAACGGAAATTGCTAACTGAGAAAATAAATATTAATTAGGTGGGACGTATATTGACCCACCATGCCGCAAAAGGTTAAAATGGCAATAATAATTGTAATTCCTAGCCTTTAAGGTAATTTTTGACCCTAATGCTTAGAGAATACTACAATGTAGGCACTAGAAGCTCATTCAGCCGAGTATGCATAGGATAAACGTACAAGCTGTAAGGATTATATGTTAATTTATTTAACAAGTTAAACTTTGAGTTAAAGTTCCTTTCCTGTCTTCCTGAATTTCAACTTACAATTTCCGGCCAGAACGTAGTTTTAGAATCGCGTTTGAATGCAAATGAGGAGAAGTATTTAACCGTGAAGTTCTACTGACTTCGTGAGAGAGAACTAGTGATTCTGACTAGCGCGCGTTCGCTTTCTTTGGCTATTCTCTCTTAAGCTATTATCACGCTCGCCATACTTCCGGCCCTTGATAGCTTCGCCGTTATTCAGCATTTAGGGGCCAACTCTGTTAGAATCTTGATAGCTTCGGCTATATCTTTTTAGTTAAGATTAGTTAAGTTTTAGTTTTTGAGCTCAAGCTCCAGTGGCGGCTTTATTGTAAAACTTCAAGACGGAGTTCTGTTAAACTTTATTGGAATAATAAAGGGTAATTTTCCCCTTCTTACGTGTTGTTCTCTGTCCCACGAATTCAAACGATTATTCGCTGATCAGTTCTTAAGATTCTTCAAATTCAACTGTAACTTAAAAGTACACAGCACAAAATCTTACAAAGCAGTTGACAGAAATATAAATCTAGATCATTTTGTGGTCTGTTTGTAGACTACGCGTATCTTATTATAGCTGAAGACGTTTCTGTTAGCCATCTGTTCTCTTTTACGACATAATCGAAGCTCCGCTAAACTACTTGGCAAAAGGGAAATGCTTAGTTATGAAAATTATAGTATGTTGAAACCTCTTATTTTTCGATGCACAAATACATTTATTAACAAGCTATTATTACTTAGCCATGATATCATCTTAAGGTACACATAAATGAGGAAATTTCTTCTTCCTTTTTACGTGCCTCCGTAACGTATCTGGGAGCACGTACAGCTAGCCATCGAGAGATCAAATATTTGCTTCTACGAAAAAGACTTAAAAAGTCTGAATACAAACATACAGTATGCTTCCTCTTTTAAGAGTTGAGTTCGTTTCTAATAAAAGATTCAGAACTGTTTAATTCTTTCAAGAGAAATAGCAACTGACTTGAAGAATGAAGAGTTTCGATGTTCTTGTTTGATTATTTACTGTGCCATGAATATTGATATAATTACAGTTTTTAGAATTATTTAGAAGTTTTGGGAATATCTGAAAGATTTTCACATGTATTGTTGAACTGTTGTAGTCTGAGTGCAGTTTAAACTCATATTATTGTAATTATCTTGTTAGTTTGCTGGCTAATTGTCAACTTCCTCAAATACTTTAATAAGAATATCTAGCCTTTCATTATCCTGACGTCATCACTTTCATAAGTCTCAGAAATACTCGACACATGTAAGCTACTAATAAATACATCACAGAAGAAAATTCCAAATTATCGTAGAAATAAATACATCTCGTGCGATTACGAAACGAAAAGACGTTTAAAATTATATATATGTGATGTATCAGCTTTAGTCGTAGCTTAAATAATCAGACGATAAGTTTAAAAAACAGGATCCATTTATTATTCAGGAGAAATAGCAGTTACACAAATCATATATCCGGAGTAAATAAAAAGAATTACTAATAACTTTTTGTATGAAGTTTACTGCATCGTGACATTTAAGAAAAAGGCCCCGATATTCCTTTTCTGAGTCTTTTTATAGCCTCTGGAAAGGCGGAGCTTCCAAGAAAAGACGTCAGCCAATCCAGTTCGCTTTAAATATCTCGAGAACATTCTATAACGGTACGTGTAGAAAAGGCGGGAAACTACGGGGCTGTGCATTTAATTCCACGTACTTTCAAATAAGAGAACGTCGCCATTAGAAATGAAAAGAACATACAGTTAGAATTTTAAGTGTATTCTTGATTATTGAATTTTATTATTACAGATATATATATATATATATATATAATTTTAAACAATATAAAAATTAAATTAAATAAATAAAACATTTTTTGATTAAGAACAGTTGATAAAACGTTTAAACGTTTTTTAAAAAAATCAAAGATTAGCGCCTAGAGAAGTTGGAAACGTTTGTCTTCATTCGTTATTTACCATCATAAAAAATAAAACTAATTATTCTCAACGTCCTACGTTAGCCAAGCCGAAAATTTAATTGCCAGCAAAAGTAATATTGTTGCATTCTTTGCCATGCAGATTGTAATAGCATTGTGATGAACAATTATATTCAAAATTGTGTCTTGAAAAAAAATTTCTTATTTTCAAAGAAATTTCCTGAAAAGAACGTACATTCAAAAATCAAAATTACAATAATAATACGTGTTTCTATGATAACGAGCAATCTAATTATTTTTAGACTTCTTTTACAATAACTTAGATAATTAAGATGCATTTATACGGGACTTCTGTTACATTCAAAACCTCGTATGCATAACTTTATATCTGTTCTATTATTCATGTCTTTAAATCTTGCACCGACATTCATTGAATTAAAAATAAAATATATAATATAAAGAGACTGATGTTAAGAATAAAAAATTTTGTTTTGAATAGATACGTCTTTATTTGCAGGTTAGAAGAATACGATAAACCATTTTCTCTAGAAAACTTTTACAACTATACGGATAACAGCATTGGTGATCTTGGTTTTCTCCTTTAGACGTTTTATAATTAAATCTTCTTCATTAATGTTAATTTTTCATTAACGCTAATTAATGTTCATTAATATTAATTTTTCATTA